ATATGAAGATCGCCCATGAATTAGGAAGTGAATTTATGAGATAAATCACTTGCATAGATTTATTGGGTTTCATGCCTGTGTCTTCTAGCTCTCTGACTAGTGTGCGAAAGACGTGCACATGATCTATAAACTTGGTACCTTTCTATCATTTTTAACTAATTATCCCTCTTCATAACCATGGTTTGCTTCACGAGAGAGGGTTCAACATAGTATCTTTCAAGTCTATTAAAAATCCCACTTGCAGTATAGATTGATTCGAACTTAGAAGCATACGAATCAGTCGTGGCACATAAAAGAATGTGTTTGCATATCAGGTTCCTCCTCTTCCAACTGTCGTACTCATCTTTAATTTCTTGAGATGAGTCGTCAGTTGGATGACGAGGTCGGTCATCATTGAGTACCTTATGCAAGTTTTCTTCATAGAGCACACATTTGATCTTTCTTTTCCAGGAAGCATAGTTGGTCCCATCAAACCTTTCGGTTTCCAGGATCTTTGAGATGAAGTTACGTGCAACCATATCTTTCTATTCTCAAGCAAAAATAATAGAATACTCCTAATGGCAATCAAGTAAAACTAGTTTTGATACCAATTAAAAAAATACCTATGTGACATTTTGCTGGTGGATATAATTTTTTTTTTTAATCACCCCTTTTGTTTTCATAAAAAGATCACCTACAGATGGTCTTATTACAATCAATAAATCTTTCAAAATAAAAGCAACATAATAATAAAATAAAACTCAACCACTTGATGCCATTTATACAACTAAGTATTATGCTTGAGAATATAAAAATAGAATAGCAAGAAATAAAATGAGAATATGCCGGAGATTACCTCAACCGGGCTTATTACACCCCATACTGAGTTACCAACATCCGATGGCACGGGATTAGCGGTCTAGCTTTAATCTCGAACTGGGAAAGCCATTTTCGGCCAAACTGAGTAAGCAACCTTAAATCTCTACAAAACCCTAACTCCAAAAATAATTTAGGCTCAACTTTAATTTCCCAACCCTTAGTATCTCTAGATCAAAAGAGAGAGAGAGAGTAGGAGACCTAGGGTTGGGGCGTGCACCCTATGGGTCTTAGGAGAGAGAGGGTTAGAGAGAGAAACCCTGAGGAGAAAGAGTGGGGCATGCCCCTCTAAGAGAGAGATGAGAGATAGTTGTGGAAGAGAGAAGGTGTAGATAATAGGGGAGGGAACACCCCTATTTATAGTGCAAAATTAGGTTTAAGGTTTCTCATAGTTTGCCTCTTTTTTAAGATTGAATATGGACCGTTGATCAGGGTGACTTTTGGGGTGAGAGATCTGAGCCATTCATTCCATAAATGGGCCATGAATATTATAAAAGTGCATGGATCATTATCTCCCTTTTCTTAAACCATTTTGCCATCAATATATTTAAATAAATTAAATCTATTAAAAATATTATGCATTGCATAAAATTGCATAATCCATCTCATATTTTTCATAAGAAATAACAAGTCAATATATGCTTATAATATTTAGGATAATATATGGTCAATATACACCATATTTCAATTTGACCACATGAATCAGGATATACTTACCAAAAATTAGATTTCTTGATTCCAAAGCAATGAGAAGGAAGCATGCAAGGGGTGGGGCGTGCCACCCATATGTGGCCCATGTGGGCCCGACCCAGTTGTCATATGGTGGGCCCATGTGCACTATGGCCCCATGAGATTTTATATAACTTTAAAATTAACAACATAATTTTAATACATTATTTGAATTTTATAATTTTGTAAAATCAATAACTTCATTTTTATAAGTCCAAAAATTATAAATAAAATATCAAAAGATTCATAAACATTTAAATAATAATTCTAAAATAAACTTTATCATAAAACAAATACAATTAAATTATTTTGATGGGAAATTGACCCATATGGTTTATGAATTCAATCAGTGATCACGGGGTACTCCAGATTGAACTGTGGACTCCAGACTACATTTGCTTTATTGAACCGACCCAGTGTTTCTCATGACCTACAGTCCAAGCAATGACTCATTAGGGGATCACTAAAGTCTGACCAATGAGCTAAGGGGTTGTAATCCTAATATGTGGATTATATGTCCTCCTTAGAGACGAGTCAAGGTCACCACGACCTGATGCGACGACAGTTCTATGGTGTATAGGGGTATCTCTCACACATGCATATGTTTCACCCTAAAAGGTGGATATCTGGCTTTCTTGAACGATCTATCGATATGCATGCTGTGTAATTGATCATGGACGAGGTTTTGGCCCCCGTCTCTATAGGTCTACCATCATACACATGGGTTACACAGTCTTTCTCCTCACTCATCCAGGCATAAACTCTGACCTCATCAAGGAATAACCTAGAACCCTTATCGGTTTATTCTCTATGCCCAGGTACCTTGGGTTTTCCATCCGACTGGCCTAGATCGTCAAGCATAGTTCAGTATCAACAAATTTCATTTGTTTAGCATGGTCCACGAGGGACCTCACTCCCACTGAGTTTATGTTCCACTATAATAAATGTTTTTTATTACACATTTATAAGGCTTTTAAAAACCACATAAACCCAACATTGTACACCATTGTGACAGAGATCCACGAACTTGCAACCTTCCATCTTGTACCCCATTTCACCACAGATCCATGCACTTGCAACATTCTTGTTTAATATGAAGTCATAAGAAGAAGGGCTCAGTTTTTCACTCCTTTCAATTGGTGGCCCTAGTGTTGAGGGAGCCAACTGAGTCCTCAGACTTGGTCATGTAGCTCGGCCTTAGTCTAATGCGGGATCCTAGGGTCAACTTGCCCTTGTTAAAAATATTAAAACCCATACTTTTGTTAGTAAATCTTCAATATATGATTTAAAAATATACGTTATGTGGTTTTTATGATGAGTTGAGAACTTTTCTCATTACATTCTTTAATTTTATTTTATTTTTTTATTTTTCTACAATATTTAAAGGTATAAATAAAAAATTTAAAGAATCAATCTTTTATATATTCTTTTGAACTTTCAATGATTTTTATTACTTAGTGTACTTTTTGATAGTTTTTAACAATTGTTTTTATATTTTTTGAATTTTTGACTTTTTTAATTAGAGTAATGATCCTATGAGACCTTCCCACACCCATGTATGTAGGACTCCAAAGGATCATCATTAAATTTGGCACAGATCTCTAGAAAAGTCAAATCCCACACCCATGTGATAACTTTTCTAAAGATTCGTGTCAAATTTAATGGCGATCCTTTGCGGTCCTACACACATAGGTGTGAGAGGGTCTCATAAGATGATTACTCTTTTAATTATTGTACATAACTCATTCAAGTCCACTCAGATTCATCGAATTACGCGGCTTGGCCCAGGGGCAAGTTTGAGGCACGGGCTAAGCTTAAAGACATTGAGCAGCCCAAAAGACCATTATTGCCTTTTATTTTTTTTGGTAAGACAGTAGGGGAGAAGGCCCCTACATGATTTTCATTAATTATAAATGGTAACAAAAATTACAAAGAGATGCATGCACAGAAAATACCATCATTGCCTTGAGTTTGTCTTTTAACACTCCTAATCAATGTTTTAAAAAACATTCAGTCAAACTCGAATTGCTTAGTTCGATCTGGGATCTGTTCGTGAGCAATTCGGGTTAATACATGTAGAATTGCCCAATCTAAATTTTTTTTGGTAGTTACTTATTTTTAATTTATTACTACTCAAACCGGTTGATCCAAATCACCTAATTTGGATGGTAGGTGGGCGATCCAAAACCCGGTACTGGGTTTTAAAACAGTGCTCCTACATGTTACTCTTCGATCTCGAATATCATTCTATTTCATCTCCAATGTTCATGGCAATGATCCTATGGTTTAAACTCAATTGAATCATATATCATCATTTCCAATTGGATATAAGTTTATATAGGTTGCAACCTTATATTGTATAAATAAAGTGTATTTTTAGAGTCCAAAATAAAAGAGTGTTGTAAAATTGGAGAACTTTCTAATTGATTATCTCGACCTTTAGATGTATAGATATAAAGAGAAAATAATTTCAATTCTTAAAAATAATGCATCACAAGTTATTTGAACCGATCTGATTTCAATATTTCAAGTGCTTAAAGAGCATAGCCCCACCCGATTAGCTAGGAACTGTACAAGTACGTCCTCCGTCAGCCCCCACCGTACTTCCACAATAGGGGGTTCGGGTGAAGTACTCAAAGCCTGCTCCATTTGCACTTTTAAAATTCTTAAAATTTTATAATAAAAGTTAAATATAAGTTTTCAAGCTCTCGCAAGATACTGGAACTACATATTAGAGTAAAATTTAGTGATGCAACTTATTAATGGTATAGTATAAGCAAAGCACATTGTAAAACTACATATTAGAGCAAAATTTAGTGATGCAACTTATTAATGGTATAGTATAAGCAAAGCACATTGTACAACGAAACCCTAGATATGACTAAATTACCTTTGATTTAATTTAAAAATGATGAGAATGGTCATAAGGCTTGGTTCCTATTCAGTTTACCGGCGCAAGCTTTTTATGCTTTTTTAACAATATAAAATTTATATACTTCCTTTTATCTAACCGTTTATTGTGAATGGAGGGTTAAGATTGGTTCAATTACAATGTTATGTTTCTATACTAATTTATTTTTAAATTTTTTTTATAAATTATTTTGATATCAAATTTTGTAGGTTCGGTACTTTATTAAACTCACACTGATGAAAAATATAAAAAAATTATTTTCAATAAAATTAAATGGCCAAAGTAATTTTAAAAGTTTCAAAAGGTATTTTGGTCATTATATTTTATTGAAAACACATTTAAAATATTTTTTATAGGTCTGAAAAGATGACAATTTATCAAATTTCATATTCATACAATTTGTATAAAAAAAAATAAAAAAATTAAGATTTAAGACATCGGATCTAAGTGACCCTTATTATAAAAATTGGACGGCAGGATGGTAGGGGAAGCATAGATCTTCTATGCTGTAGAGGAAGTATAGAAACGTTTCTCTTTAGTTTGTAATTAGACGATCAAGTTCTTCGTTTTCATTCGAGAGAGAGAGAGGGACAATTTTAGTTTGAAGAGACAGAGATGGCATCAGTGGTGAGGGCTGCAATGAAAGCTATCAAAGAGAAGGGTCTCAGGAACTTTTTCAGAGAACTCAAGGAAGAAGGCTATTTGTATGTCAAAACCTATGTCCCTTTCTTTCTCTACTTTCTTCCTAATTTCTTTTGCGGTCAAATGTTCCTTGCTTCCTATTCATGCAATTCCGTTTTGTTTTCTTTTTTTGTTTTTAGAAATCTTATGACGGACATTGTCGAAGAATTGGTTACTTAATTGATGTGCTTCGTAGATCAGATTGTTATGGATTTGTTTTTGGGCTACTGATGTGAATGTACTCATGAAATTCGAGATACCCATTTGATTTTTTTTGATTGATTATGGAGAAAAAAGGGTGTATTTAGGTTTTATGGTTAACTATCATTTTATTTTGTGAAGTGAATTTTAGGGTTAGGTGATGAATGAAATTCTTGCGGTCTAACCTGCTTGATTTGAACTACTGACCTAAGATTGCACACAATTACAGTTTTATGGGTTTTTGAGATACCCATTTTGGGTAGTTAAATGGGTTCTTTGGTTTAATTGATTAGCAATTTTGATTTTTCTGTTTTACATTTGTTGTTTGCAATATATGGGGCAAAATGTTTAGCTTGATTTCCAATTACCTGTTTCCTATATTTGTATATATTATTTTTATAATCTTATTACCTAGTTGCTTTTTCTTTTTGATAAGCTTATTGCTTATTTCACTACTAACCTAATATTGATAATTGTGACATCTTTGTAGCTGCTGCTAAAATAAATTTGTTCAATTGCTGATATAAAAAATTATCCTAAATTATTGGACTTCTTTTTTATACACAGTTTGGTTATTTTCACCCGCACATTTCCATGTGTGTGCTCCAAATAAATTTCTATGTATTGTCACCATTGTATTTTTCTTTAAATGGATATTTTCTAAGGATTTATGTTGTGAACACAAAATGAGCGTGAGCTTGGCTGATTCACTAACGTGGAACATAATTTGATATAATTCAGACTTGTGGGTTACAAGTGAAATCTACGTTGTTGGATTCCGAACCCAAGAAATTAATTATCTATTGCATTAATATTTGAACTGTGCTTTTTGTTAAATTTTAACTCCATTTTCTGAAAGCTAACATCTAACTTAGAAACAGATTACTTTCATTGAAAAAATTGGAAAGAAAAATGAGGCCAAAGGTTGTCTTTTGGTGGCATGAAATGGTGTGAATAGTTGTCAGGTAGAAAGCAGGTAATGGGAGGAGCACTGGGTTTTGACTTGATGTATGGCTCAGGAGCCAGACACTTTTTTTATTCTATTGTCTACTGAGAGTATGACACTTAGAGAACGTTACCTAGAACTTTTCTCCCTGGTTCAGAGGCCAAATATAACAGTGGCTGAGATAGTGGACAGATCCGGCTGAGAAGCCACGTAGATTCCTACATATTGGTGAGCCTTAGCAAAGGAAGAACTTAGAAGCATTCAGAAACCTACAATTAGAGCTAGAGAACTAGAAGTTCATGCCGTGAAGAGAGGATAGGATGGTTTGGATCCCTTAAAGTAGAGGAGAATTCTCAGTTAGATCCATTATAAAAAGTTGACATGGGGGGCAGAAGAAAAATCAGTACTTTGCAGTGTCTGGTCCCTCGTGGGCTCACCAGGAAGCAGGCATTTGCTAGGCTTACAGGGTTAGATAGAATTCTGACTATGGAGCACTTGGCAAAAAGAGTTTCTCCTATCCCCACCATTTGTTTGTCAAGCAGGATGAAGAAACTGTAAGGCACCTGTTTTTGCATTGTCCCTTAGTAACACTTATTTCGTTTTTGCCCTACTTCTCTTTGGTATAACTTGGGTGGTGCCGGCCTCTGTTGAAGCTTTATTATTGCATTGGTATTACTCCCCATTGCCAAAGAATGTTCATATGCTGTGGAGGTTAACTCTACTGAATATCATATGGCCCATTTTGTTGGAGAGGTGTAATAGATGCTTTATTTACAGAGGAGAGGGGTGAATAGTATGAACGATCATATCCAGACAACAATGGTCGTATGGGCAAGTATTAGAAGGGGGTACAGTGTCACAAACTTTTAAGCACAGTACTACTACTACATGATTGCATACTCTAAAAAGGTGAAAGAAAGGAGGTCTTGTAAGTGGAAGCCCCCCCAGTGGAATGGTGAATTTGAATTTGTTCTGTAGCTCCTGCGGTAATCTGGAACCTGTTGGATTTGTTTTTGTTGTTTTTGGGGGTGGGGGCTGGGGGTGATTGATGAGGGACCACTTGGGGAAAGATCTAGTTATCCTACTTGGGGCCTCTCCAGTCTCCATATTTTGGCCTGAATGAGGCAGAAACTGGATCCTTGCTCTATGGTCTGCGATGTACAGAGCCGAAGTGGGATAAGTGATTATTGAGGGAGAGATTCCTGCAATGCTATTGGTTGGCCCAGCAGCATGGAGAAGTGAAATATGGGATTGTGTCGGGAAGCTTTGGATGAAATTTATCCATCTTTGGAATTTGCAGGGAGTCTAGTGATAAGCTTATGACTTTGCAAGAGATGAAGTGTGTAAACCTGCATTTGTCTGTTTTGAAGCCTATCTGTAGGATCTGCTGTAAACATACTCAATTTTGTATCTGAGGAGAAGTCAAGCCCTTATTAGAGGATGTGAGAAAGAGGATATATGCAATATTTCAGCATTTTTGATTAATAAAATTTGTCAATAATAAAAAATGCAAAAAAGATTAACCAGCTATTACCTAACCTTCCAAAACAGTTTGTGTTTAATGTTAACAAGGTTGACTTGCTTTCTGAGTTCATATCAGCATCTAGTTTCTTTTCTTTCTAATTCGCTACCCAAAGAAGGTCTGGTTTTTGTTTAGTTCGCTTTCCTTGAAGCTTGAACCAGTTTGTTTTAAAGAAGGTGAACACCTTTCCCTTGGTGAAGCACTCCTTTCTCACAAATGGAAGCTACACACCAAAGAAAAAATAGCATCTTAACTAATAAAAAATATCATCTTAACTAAGTGCATCATGCAATTTGTGCTACATTCTTAGCCAATCCTAAAATAAACTGCAGTAATGCACTGTGTAATTTTTTATTTTTATTATTATTATTTTTGAATCTGGAAGAAAAGGTAAGTTTTTTAGACATGTCTTTGGATTCTAATGAAACGGTAAATTTTATCTTTTTCTGAAGAAAAAGGGTGAAACAAATGTGAAATAATTGCATGGTGCATTTTTGTTTCACCTTTTCGGGTCAGAATCTCTTTATACTAACTCAACCAGCAATTTCTGTTGACTTTGATCTCTCTCTCTCTCCTCTCTCTCTCTCTCTCTTTCTCACTCGCTCTTCTGTTTTTCCGAATTGGTGCTTTGAAAGGAGTATGTTTTGAGCTGATATTTAAATATGTTGTTTTTGCACACCTATAAACAAGCAAATGTTTATTTGGCTAGTGCTGTTATGAAGATGGTTTTATTCATTTTTTTCTCACTGGAGAGCTGTGAACTGGATTTCAATTGGTTATAATTAATTTCCTAGTGATTGGCGATCTCAATCTCTGTTTAATTTTGGATTTGTTTTCATCGCGTGCCTGATGCCATGTTTTCTGTTGGTCCTATTATGCAGGAGATGCCTTCCTGATGGAAACCTTCTGTAAGTATACATTGAGTTCTTTTTATTGTAAGACCAGATTTAACTTATTCATCCAGTAATTGGAAAGTCTAGGTTAAACTTTGAGAATTTCACTTCTAATCATGGCTTGTTACGCCAGGTTTAGGCCATGTTTGGCTACGAAAAAGGACAATTCTACATTTCCTTTTAAATGCTGATAGTCATTTTGCAAACTGCATGAAATATTTTTTTTTTTTTTGATATGTTAATGGTAGGAGTGGAGGGTGGTACAGTATGTTGACGCATCCACCCCCCTAACCACCGATACCCCCACCTCATTTCCACAAACTGTGTGAAAAGTAATCTATGGTTGAGGGCATTTTGGTCGTGGAATGGGGAGTCCTCAATAAAAATTCACTGAAATTTTTGCGAAACTCACTGAAATTTTAATGGATTTTACTGAAAACTCATAATCTCTTTGGAAAATTGCAACTCCCTCCAAACCTAACAGCAAAACCTACAATCTGTTTTTTATCCACAACCTCTCTCTATCTCTCTCTCTCAAAAGGTTTCTCTACATCCATTGCCAAAACTCCATTTTTTATCCACAACCTCTCTCTATCTCTCTCTCTCAAAAGGTTTCTCTACATCCATTGCCAAAACTCCATTTAAATTTAGCCCCCATACTTGTAGGCCGAGGGACGCCTTCCCGTATATCCAGTGCAACTCCCTCCAAAACCACCTCTTGACCCATAATCTCTTTTGCTCTCTCTTGATGCCTTGCTTCTTGTGTTTGGAAGAAAAAAAATGTGGAGATGCAATAAATAGTGATGAATAAAAATTGACTGAAGTTGGGTTGTTAGAAGGGGAAGAGACAAGAGGGGGTAACGAGTCTAGATAGAGAGAGAGAGGGTGTTTGGGGTGTTGTTGCCATTGTTCAAAAAAATAGACCGCTCAGCACCTAGGCTGTCCAGAAGGCCTGGCCGCATCGCCCAGGCCTAGGTAGCCAAACTGGGTGGTGGTCCCCGGGCGGCCGTTAGGAGGTACGGAACCCGCCTAGGCGGCCGCTAGGCGGTACGGAACCTGCTTAGGCGGCCTCTCAAGGCCTGCTCCCACTCAGAGGCGGAAAAGTACTTTTTTTTTTTTTTCGTTTTTTTCAAGATGTAAAAGTTTAGAATGATGCGTTTTAGGTTTATTTGAAACCTAAACCCACAAGAACCCCTTTTAGAGAAAAATAAACCTCCAAAAAACAATATTTCATTGGATCGAATCATCGAAGTGTTTTTCAAAGTTTGGAGTTCGAGCAACCAAAGTAAGTGCATTTTTTAGATTGCTTGTTTTATTTTGAGATGTCTTCTTCAGGAGTTAGTCAGAGTGGAGATCCAGGTTGGAAATATGGATACAACCTAAATCCAAATAACAAAAATTGCGTTAGATGCAATTTTTGTGAAAAATATACAAAAGGAGGCATAAACCAGTTTAAGAAACATCTTGCCGATATTAAGGAAGATGTTGCCCCTTGTAAAAATGTTCCTGAAGCTATTAGAGAGTAGATTAAGCAATTTATAAGTTATGTAAAACAAAAACAAGAACAAAATCCTTGTCAGAGATCTATTTCTATTTCTGCTTCTTCTAGAAGAAGTGATCCGGGTTGGAAGCATGGGTACAACCCAAAACCAAATGATAAAAATTGTATAAGGTGTAATTTTTATGAAAAAGATACCAATGGGGTTATTAGCTGATTTAAAAAAAACATTGCTAGTGTTAGAGGTAATGTTGCTTCTTGTACAAAGGTTCCTAAAGCAGTTCGAGATGAGATTAGACATTTCTTGAATTTTGAAGAACCAGAAAAGGATGAAAATAAGCCTTGTTTAATGGAAGTATTTTCTCCAGGTTCTAGTCGGAGTGGTTATCCGGGTTAGAAGTATGGTTATAACCCGAATCCAAGTGATAAAAATCGTATTAAATATAATTATTGTGGAAAAGATACTAATGAGGGCATTTACCGTTTTAAAAAACAATTTGCCGGTATTAAGGGACATGTTGCCCCGTGTAAAAATGTTCTTGAGGCTACCAAGGAGGAAATTATACAATATTTGAGTTCAGAGAAGCACAAAGAAAAGGGTAGAGCAATCAAGACTCTTAGAACCTCATATGTACAGATTGCACATACTAGTAAGAGGAAGGTAGAAGAGAGAGAAAATTCAAAAGGTCCTGCGCCACGGAACAAGAACGTGCATTTTTTGTACATACCATTCTAATCTCAAACATACTTTTGAAAGTTTCTTATGACAAAGATTCTTCTGCATCTTCTTTGATTTGCGGGTCCGAAGAAGAGAAGCAGAGGGGGGAGAGAGAGGGAGAGAGAGGGAGAGAGAGGAGTGGGAAAGATTCGGGGGTGAGAAGAAGGGAAGCAGAGGAGAGAGAGAGGATCAAGAAAGATATGGGGGTGCGAATAAGAGCAGAGGAGAGAGAGAGAGGAGTAGGATGAATAGAGAGGCTGCTAGGGAGAAGAGAAATCGGGGATTAACAGAGCGAAAGAGAGACAACATCCCTCTGTGAGCATTTTGTGGCTGAGAAAAGAAGAGGGTAAGACCTCTTTTTTGTCATCCGTGGTTTGACCTTCTAACCATGGATGATTCTTTATCTAATAGAGGCATCCGCACACGCCTTAGATAAATGACCTTTCTCTTTTTAATCTATAGGGCATATTGGATACCACCTCAAAGCACGGCTTGGAGGATCAAACCATGGATGAAATAACAAAGGTGATCTACATGTAGGGCATGTGTTGATACCCATGTGAGAGAAACACCGATTTGTGGTTAAGTGGGTAAGAGGTCTTACCCTCTTTTTCTTCATCCACAAAATGCTCGTACATTGGCGAGCATTCTCTCTCTTGCTATATTGTGCATGAGCTCTCTCTCTCTACCGCACCGCAATCCTGGTCAATGGTTTATCTCTAATGCTGTAATCATGGGCTTTCTTAGTCCTCTTGATTCTCCCTGCTGAGCACAAAACCCTTCAATCTCTCTCATCGATGCTAATGGTCACAGCAAGATCTCCCCATGAGCTGTGCCATCTCCTTTGTCAATTAGGCCATCGCCACTCATCCAAGATGATTTTAATCTATGTGGATTGAGCAGTCAAGTTCCTTATTACGATTATGTGCTTGATCTAATTTTATATGTGGAGTCCTCTCATGTGATATGTTTACTGAGGATCAAAATGGATTGGTGGAGTCAGCAGTGAATGCTATGACCTATGAGATCTGATTCATGTAAGATGCATCCTCACGAGCAAAGGGATGTCTAGCAGCAAAGATGCTCTATGATCTAATCTATGAAAGATGCATCCTTTTTTCTCTTATGTTAGATACATCCTTGAGAGAATTAGGATGCCTGCTATGCTCGGCAAGTGCAAGAACTATGATCTTGGAAGATGCCGTAGGCGTGTTTGATTTCTGGAAGTGGCAGCTCTGGAAGCCGCTGCTTCCAGAAACTATATCACTTCCTATGTTTGATTGCGGTAAGTGCTACACTATTTTGATAAGTGCTACTCTGTTGTGGAAGCTGCGACTTTGAGTGGCTTCCAAAATAGCCATTAAAAAGTGGAAGTGGCAGATTCCATGGCTTCCCATGGAAATTTCCCCTTCATTTCCTTGGGAAGATGCGACTTTCAAAGCTGCATCTTCCTAAAATCAAAAGCACTCCTAGAGTTTACTGCTGCGGTCAGCCTTGGCGCTCCCTGTTGGTCAATCAGATATTCCAAGATCGCGCAAGAGTGAGGATATCGACTGTCCAAGACCATGTTACTAAGACAGTTGCAGAATTGGGGACTTCTCAGAGGAAAAACAACCCCTTTATCTCTCTAAAACGCCGTCTTCTCTCTCTATCGAGTAATTTACAGATTCTGGGGATTTCTTAGAGACTAAAAGACCCCTGCTCCCTCTGTAAAAGGCCATCTCTTTCTCTCTCTAGACATGAGAGAAGGGGAGGATTATAGAGAGATAAAGGATGTTTGATTGAGGTGAAGGTTTTAGAGAGAGAGAGAGAGAGAGAGAGAGAGAGAGAGAGAGACGT